ACTTACTTTCTTGAAATCCTCCAAAGTCTTCGAGAAATGGTTGTTACGCCTAACTACCTGTATTGGAGTAATCGAAGTGTTAATTGATGTTAACAACAATCAGCGGCTTATAAATCTATTGCATAATTATACTAATGGATTTAGATTATTAGGCGACTAACTTAAGATTTTGTGTATGTGTATGTGTGGGAGAATATCTGTATGTATATATGTATGTGTGCGAGTGTGCATGTACACGTATCTGTATGTACATGTTATTGTGTTGTGACCGTGGGAGAATATCTGTATGTATATATGTATGTATGTGTGCGAGTGTGCATGTACACGTATCTGTATGTACGTGACCATATATTTTTGTTACTGATTTTGTGTATGTGTGTGTGGGAGAATATCTGTATGTATATATGTATGTGTGCGAGTGTGCATGTACACGTATCTGTATGTACGTGACCATATATTTTGTTACTTAATTTTGTGTGTATGTGTATGTGGGAGAATATCTGTATGTATATATGTATGTGTGCGAGTGTGCATGTACACGTATCTGTATGTACGTGACCATATAATTTTTGTTACTTAATTTGTGTATGTGTATGTGTGGGAGAATATCTGTATGTACATATGTATGTGTGCGAGTGTGCATGTACACGTATCTGTATGTACGTGACCATATATTTTTGTTACTTATTTTGTGTATGTGTATGTGTGGGAGAATATCTGTATGTATATATGTATGTATGTGTGCGAGTGTGCATGTACACGTATCTGTATGTACGTGACCATATATTTTTGTTACTTATTTGTTGTGTGTATGTGTGGGAGAATATCTGTAATACATATGTATGTGTGCGAGTGTGCATGTACACGTATCTGTATGTACGTGACCATATATTTTTTGTTACTTAATTTGTGTATGTGTGTGTATGTGTGGAGAATATTGTATGTATATATGTATGTGTGCGAGTATGCATGTACACGTATCTGTATGTACGTGACCATATGTATTTAATATATGTATTTAATAAGTATTATAATATAATTATATGTATTATAAGTATATAATATGTATTATAAGTCTAAACCACAAGAAATGAAACACACTGTAGACACACCTATCATTATATTCACAATAAAACAACCAAACCAAACCAAACCAAACCACAATTTAACCGAAATGTATCTCAGATTCCGCAGACCAATTTTCCCAAACCCATTTCAACCACAAAACCCAACCTGACTTACCTTCGCCTTAAGACTAACGGTCTCATTGTACTGACCAATATCTGCGTTTTCGTACTCGACAATGGCTTGCTGAAAACGACAAAAAAAACAAGTATTTACTTAATGGTAATATAGTATTCCTAAAAAAAAAACTTGGGTGCACAGATATATGGAAACTGAAGAACTTTAGTATATATATATATATATATATATATATATATATATATATATATATATATATATATATATACTTGATTTACTATTATTATTACCACTCTTGCGTACAATACAATGTTACACCCCCCTCAGAAAAAAAAAAAAATAAAAAAAAAACATCCATACATGTATATAAATATATATAATACATGGCTACATTTGACGACTTTACAGCCCAAAAAAGCGAGAGAAAAAAATGTTCCATAGCATCCTAACCAACAAATTAAAATAAGGAAAAAATAAACCCACAAGCCACAACATAAACAACAATATCCATATATATATATATATATATATATATATATATATATATATATATATATATATATATATATATATATATATATATATAAGCCTACATCATGAACACAGACAGACTTTCTCTAACCTAACAGCAATTTACCTTGTTTCGCGAAGCAGTAACAGCAATCACGGAGAACAGCAGTAAAAACGAGGTGATTACGACACGATAACAACCCATCTTGTAGTTAACTGATCCAGATTTTCGAGTGTGTTATGAGAGCTCTTGTTGGGAAGCAAGTGATGAGTGTGTGTGTGTGGTGGACGGGTGTTGGCTCCTGCTTTTAAATAGGTTCTGTGGCTCTCTCTCTCTCTCTCTCTCTCTCTCTCTCTCTCTCTCTCTCTCTCTCTCTCTCTCTCTCTCTCTCTCTCTCTCTCTCTCTCTCTCTCCTCTCTCTCCGTCGCTCCCTCCCTCCTCGCTCTACCCCCCCCCTCCCCCCTTCCTCTCTCGTTCTCTCTTCCCTCCCTCCTCTCGCTCTACCCTTCCCCTCCTCTCTCTCTCTCTCTCTTCTACTTCCCTCCTCTCTCTCTCTCTCTCTCTCTCTCTCTCTCTCTCTCTCTCTCTCTCTCTCTCCTCCTTCCCGTCCTCTCCCCTCCCTCCCTCTCGCTCTACCCCCCCCTCCCCCCCTCTCTCTCCTCCTCTCTCTCTCTCTCTCTCTCTTCTCTCTTTCCCTCCCCCTCTCTCCTCCTCCCTCCCGTCCCTTCCCTCTCCCTCCCTCTCGCTCTACCCCTCCCTCCTCTCTCTCTCTCTCTCTCTCTCTCTCTCTCTCTCTCTCTCTCTCTCTCTCTCTCTCTCTCTCTCTCTCTCTCTCTCTCTCTCCCTCTCTCTCTCTCTCTCTCTCTCTCTCTCTCTCTCTCTCTCTCTCTCTCTCACTCTCTCTCTGGATGGCCTTGATCTATTAATATTACTTTGCTATAAGACTACTCCGGTTAGAGTAACACCTGGTTAATGCGGTAAATTAACTTATTACGGGTTCAAAAATGGGGGTTATTGCTATAATTTGAAATTTTGGGTTTTATGAAATCTAGGTCAGCCATTTTGATATATGATTTTTTCTTCATGTATGTGTATGCTTATGTATTTTGTACGCGTTTATGGTATGTATGTTACACATGAACCGTAATATTCTTATCGTTAAAAGAAAGAAAGAAAGAAAAAAATATATTTATGTAATCCAAATATAAGCTCATGAAAGTGAAATCACTTAAAAAGCGAGTAAAAAAAGAAATACATTTGACCTCTAACCATTTTTTTTCCAGTACAGTTTATACCTCATTACTTCTTTAAATGATATATCATACCTAAATCCGATGCTTAACTTAACTGCCTCTTATCTTCAATCATGAGTCGAATTGGCCGTTAATATCTCGAAAAAATATGGGCATTTGATTTCATTTCTCATTCATTATTCACTAACTCTTTTTACTAACTCTTTTTATGCTCGGTAAGTGGCTTCGTGTATTAGTTTAGTCCCATTAGTTCCCAAAGTGGGCGGCGCCATCCCTGTGGGCGGCAACCCTTCCTTATTACTTACACAACTTAAAACTGCTGAAAAAAAATGGTTTACTAAATTAGGTTTTATTTGTGAAACAGCTTTGTGCTCAAATTTTTCCTTTTTTTCAACTTGAACCATACCAAAAAAGAGAAAAAAAATGTGTTCGTATGTGTGTATGAAAGGTGGAGAGGGCGGAGCCAAGGGATCTGTCTCGAGCGTGATTCAAAAACATACAATCATGACGTATTTACCACCGGTCAGTTACCATCGTTTACCCGCTAAAGGAAATCGAAGATGGTAACTCGCCTCGGCAAAGTTACGATCGTAAGTCGACTCGTTCTCACGGCAGCCAACAGATGGCTCTCGCGCAGCAATTCCGCCAATCAGCGAGCGCCACCGTTCTCTCCCTCGACCAATCACGTAACGCGTAGACAACTCGACTTGGCGGCGCGTTTTTTAAACTACGTTGCCACTAAAGCATCATTCAAACATACGTAGAAAATTTGTAAATAAAAAATTGTTTAATTATCATTATATTAAAAGACCTCCCTGGCTATTTGTCGTCGAGATCAGGACCTGTACAGACACTGTCATTACAGGTACTTACATATTATTTTCCGTCAGCCAAGGAATCGGTCCAAACAGTTTGTATTTATTTGTTTACTTATTTCACTTCATATGTAAACAAGGACAGAAGGCAAAATATCTTTATTACTCGCCATTTATTGTCAAAGAATACAAAGAATATAGTTTGTTATGATGATAGTAATAATTGTTATTATATATATATGTTATTTTAATTATTATCATATCAGTATCATATAGAAATAATGATGATGATAATTATCATTATTATCATTATTATGATTATTGTTATTATTATCATAATTATTTTCATTATTATTATTATTGTTCAATTTTTTTATATATCTGTTGTTGTTTATTTTATCATAATTTAATTTGCAATATTTATCGAGTATTGGCGATTCTTTTCCTCTGTGTCGGTTATTCTTTAATTTTCTTTGTTATTTACTAAATGAAACTTCAAAATCAAAGTAAATAACTTTGTTCTTTACTAATTGAGGAATTTGAGATACCTGGTCAGTAAAAACAGGTATACACATGCATATACATAGTTACGCCCACACACAAGCACATACACACATAGACACAGACACATGGACACACACACACACACACATACACACACATTTAAACGCACACATACACATACATACACATTCAACGCACGCACACACACATTCAAAACACACACACACATTCAAACACACACACACATACACACATAGACACAGACACACACACACACACACACACACACACACACACACACACATCACACACACACATACACACAACACACACACACATCACACACACATACGCACACACACACATACACATTCAAACGCACACACACACACACACAAACACACACACACACACAGCACACAACTACAACACACACACACACAACTACAACACACACACACACATCCAAACACACACACACACAATACAACACACACACATACATACACACACACACATTCACACACACACACACACACAAACACACACAACACACACACACACACTACAACACACACAAACGCGCATTCAAACACACACACACACACAATTTAAACACACACACACACATTCAATCACACACACAGTCACACACACATACGCACACACAATCACACACACCATACACACATTTCAAACGCACACAACACACAC